GTCATTTTCATCAAATTGGAAATTTTTGAGCTGTTATTTCATGTATTGTGTTTCCTGGTGCCCACCCCCAACCTTTCCTAAACTCCAATTCCACATATCCTAGATTGCTTGATACTGTCCCATGGGTCAGGTCACTAATGCTCTATCTAGTCATTTTTTTTTTCAGTATTTTTCTCATGCTTCATTTTGAAAAGTTTCTATTGTTAAGTCTTGAAGTTCACTGAATTTTTTTTTGCAGTGTCTAATCTGCTATTACTCTTATCCAGTGTATTTCTCATTTTAGATATTTTTCATCTGTAGAAGTTCATTTTGCATCTTTGTTTTTATCTTCCATTTCTTTCATCGTCATGTTGATCTTTCTTTGTTACATTCTTTAACATATGGGGGCACATTTTTAATAGTTTATGTAAGGTTGTGAAAATTTCATCGTCTCTGTCATTTCTGGGCTATTCATAATAACTGAATGTTCTCCTACTTATGGGTCATATTTTTCCCTTTGCATGCGTGGTTATTTTTGACTGGGTGCTAAATGCTACATTGTTGAGTGCTAGATTTTGTTGTATTCCTTTAAAAGAGTGTTGAACTTTGCTCTGGTGTTGCAGTTATCTTGATCCTTCTGGTTGCTTTTAAGCTTTGTTAGGATAAACCTAGAGTAACCTGGCGTACAGTACTAATAGGCCCCACTACTGGGTATTATACTTTTGAGTCCCCCTCCCCAGCTCTCTGTGTATTACAGAGTCTCTGCATTCTGATTGGTCAGAGTGCAGACAAGAACTCAGCCCTTTGTGAATTCCAGGAATTGCTGGGTGTACTGCTTTGCAGTGGTATTTCCCGTTTTGGACCCACACAGGATTCCAGTCATTCAGTCCTTGTATTCCATATATAGCATTCAGTATTCATTCTGTCTAGTGTATTTTGTTGAATATTCATTAAAAGTACTCAGTCAGTGAGCCCAGGGAAGCTTGCCTTTCTGATTGTTTACTGAGAGGGTAATTATAATAGCAATTATTCCTTTATCAGTAGAACCTGAAGTCCTAAATGCAAGCAATTTTTATAGGACTTCACTAAGCAAAAATTAGTAAAGTGGTTATATTCAGTTAATTATGTAAGTGAAGTAAGTTGGTATACTGCATTTGTGCTGTTTGATTGGCATTTTGAATACTTTTTAACCCAAAATATATCACTATTCTTT